CACACATATAATACACATATTTATTAATATTTTATTAATTATTAATTATAAATGTTATGTTAGTAATTATAGATGTTGAATGTTAAGACTGGTTCTTTTGTCACAACTATGTTTTATGACAGTCAGGTGAGAAATGATGTGCAGTAATTTCGTTGCGACATATAACTTTATTTTCTAGTTTTCACACCTTGACAGAAAAGCAGAAACCAATCAGACATCAATAGAAGCCAATCAGAACTCACACGGTAATAAAGAGTACATTCTGCGACTACTGACGCAAGTTCTGATTGACTTCTGCTTTTTGCTTTTCTGTCAAGGTGTGAAAATTAGAAAATAAAGCTATATGTCGCAACGAAATTACATCATTTCTCACCTGATTGTCATAAAACATAGTTGTGAAAGGTGTGAATCTCCCATAAGTCCAGGGGTCGATCATGTAACTCTTCCTCTAAGGCGGAAACGTGAAAAGTGAAAGTTTCACGTGAACTTACGATCATGTACAATTTTGCGGGATCATGTAATTCTCTCAAACGTGAAAATGTGAAATTTTTTACGTGAACTTTTTCGCCATATACCTTAGTGGCGGAAAGGCGGAAATCTAGGGAATTAATAAATATGCTTCGGTATTGAGAGAAAAGATTAGGGTTGCGTTAGGATTAAGTGTTCGTAATACAATTGATATACAATTGATTATTAAAAAAATGTATATAATACTGTACTAATAAAATAATTTTCATTAGCTATAAAACCTATGAAACTATGTTTCATGATTTCACTTTCCACACATCCAAGCTACATACATAATCGCTGTACGTGAAAAGTTTCACGTGAAATGTCAAGATGTGAAAAATGAAAAGTAAAAAGTGAAAAATGAAAAGTGAAAAATTTCACATAAAGTTACATGATTGACCCCAAGGTGTGAAAAATGAAAAGTAAAAACTGACTGTTCCATTGTATCATTTTGGCTGCGTTCTGATATTCACTGCCAGTACTGAAAATATATAGTTCAGATCACGTATATTATAGATTTTCAGTACTGGCAGTGAATATCGGAACACAGCCCTAGTAGACTTTTAATGCAGTTGTTTGATTGATTTGGTTAAAATCTCTAGCATTGGCTAGATAAAGTTTTCACATCGGAAAACTGGAGTAAAGGAGTTATAAGGATAGAAATATGAGTTGTCAAAAAGGAAACATTAATCGTTCGAGACCTCAAAAACATCAAAATCATACATCATTTAAAAATAATCTACATGACAACTCCCAAAAAATAAAGCTAATTAACACTGTCGAAGTTATTAATGTATGCGAACGTTGCAAAAAAATAATAGAATGGAAGATCAAGTATAAAAAGTATAAAGTGCTTAAAGCTCCAACAAAATGTATTAAGTGCGAGCAAAAAACTGTGAAGCATTCTTATCATAATATCTGTTTGTCTTGTGCCAGGCAACAGGAAATCTGTCCAAAGTGTGGGCAGAAATGTCAAATTGTAGAAGGTAAATCAAATAAGACCAAATAAAATTGGAAGAACAAATTAGATTGGACACAGAATTTAAGGCAATTCTGAAAACAATATCATGAAAATGTAGGGCATTCTTATATTATATAAAGTAGCAATCAAGTACACTTATTTAGAAACATATAATCTATTCAGTGTCTAATGAAAAATTTATATTGAAATAAAATAAAAATTTCGATTGATTTCAAATCGATCGAAATAATATCAGATATCAATGATTCTTCAATGATTGTATTGACTTTGTTTCAATGTTGAATCAATGATTATATTTACATCCTTTCTTTAAACTAATTGTATACTATTCTCAGTTCTCTTATCGCTTTTGTAATTTTACCATATCATGTTAGTAATAAGAGAATTATTCCTAAGTGTTATTAAATTAATTAGTATAGGTTTGTAAAAGTAATTAATCACATTTTTGTTTGATGTTACCTGATATTTTGTTTGATATCCTTCTTTATATAAAAAAGACTTTTTATTTAATATCAGATACATTTTTTTTCTTATTATATTAAACATATCATTTAAGATACATTATTTTATTTAGTGAGTATGTAGAAATAATATTATATAACTATTCAACATAGTTCTGAGATTTAGATACATTCATATTACTATAATATAATCTGATTTTGATATAATAATATGAATATAATTTTCTTCATTAAAAATTAATTAATATTTAATAAATATTTATTGAATAAAAATGAACTCAAGTTTAGGAGAATTAGCAAAATAAAAATTAAAATGCAGGTACAATGAAGTTACAAATGTAGCTACAGATGCTAAATTTTTTAAATAAATACACATTTTAAGATTTTTTACTCATCCTACAATATTTTTATATAAAAAATAATTACTTTTTTTATCATGATTAAAACTCATTGCAAAATAGAAACAAGTAACATATGTTTTTGTAAATGTGATTGCATTAGTCAATATATAAGACTACTAAGTTAATACAAGCGATCAAGAGTTTTGAATTGATAGTCTTATGTTTTAAATTGTGGATGAACTTTACATACATGTACATATATATATATATATATATATATATATATATATGGATATAATTAATAATTAATAAAAATAACAAGTGCGCGACATGTACGCATGCATTTTTATTAATTATACCCAATCAGAAAGATGACATTGTTGTATACAATGTTGATACAATTTCACCTTTCCTATTGGACATTGATTAATCAATTTTTCGATATCAAATGAATATTGTATCATCATCTTTCTAATTGAGCTTTTCTATATTTAGCTATTAAGCAATTTCATATATGTATGTGTAATGTAATAGATATAAATATATAGAGTATTCCGAAAATCATGATATAACCGGAAAGATGGTGATTTTTTATAAAAGTAGGTCGAAAATATAGAATAACATTTTTCGTTTAAAGTTTTCGAAAAAAATTGAGATTGAATACTTGAACTGTTAAGTATGTGCATTTGATTAGCTACAAGCTTTTATTAATTTGGTTATCCATCGCTATTTCTGTTTGTGTTTGTAAATATTACCATTGATTTAAGCATCTTTTAATTTATAGATCTTTTTTTTAATTTATAGATCTTTTAATTTAATTTAAGAAAAAGTCTGGTATGAAGAACATTTTCAAAAATTTTTCAATAAATAAAAAATGAAATAACGAAATAATAATAATATATCATTTAAAATTTATTACATTATTTAAAACTTTGTATTACATTCAGAGTGATATAGAAATAGCGATGAATAATCAAATTGGGTAAACTAAGCAGATTGTGGCTAGACGAGTGCATGTATCAAGTACTTAACGAATATTTAAACTTGATTTTCTCGAAAATAGAGATCAATACGAAAAAAATTTATTTTCAAATTATTTTTACGTAAGGAATTATCTCTTTCCGGATTATTCGATTTTAATTTCTAAAATATTCTTTATATATTTTTTCATACATAATGATAAGTTTTTATTCATAATTCATACATTATTCATACATTTCATACATAATGATAAGTATTTTATTTCTAGAGAAATAATAAGGATCACATTTCTGGATTAGATACCAATATATGTAAAGCTGACAGTAAAGACACAAATAAAAATATAACAAGTTCAAAAGGAACAGAAAATTTATTAATGAAATTAAAATCATTAACTGTCATAGATGATAATAACATTGATAATGACATTGAAAATGAAAGATAAAATGATAATTTTAACAGTGATGACTTATTGTTACAATAAATTTTGTAAATAAAATGGTTTTTAATTATAAAAGCATTTTTTCATTTAATTCTAATAGTAATAACAGAGATTGAGCATTAAAATGAGCATAATCTTCTTTAGCAATTGTATACTGATGTTATAAGTACCTCTATTTTTGTAATATTTGATACTTTGAAATCGATAAAGAATATGGAATTCAATCAACATTACGTAATTCGTATACGTTAATTCTGAAACGAAGCAATGGGTAGGACTATACATATCAATGTATGTACAATGAATTACAGAATTTCTTCTTTTTCTCATAAGAACACCGAAGTCATTTAGATAGAAATTACAAAATAAGTATAGATGGATCTTTTTTTTAAATATTATTCAAATGTAGAAATGTAGAAATACAATATAATACAATAATAATGATATTTTTTACACAGAATATTACAAAATTAATCATTTTATTTCTATTTTATTGAATCGTGAAATAGTAGGTCAAAGTAGAAATCAGAGCTAAATATTTTTTGACAGACATTTTTGACTGAGACATGTTGCAATTACTAACTTAAATTTAATCCATAATAATAATAGAAAATGTGGCTGAAGGAAATATGAACATAATATATGCAATTATTTATAGAATATAATCCAAATGTCATTACTTTTAGAAAACAATAGCAATGATTACTAAAAACATAAATATATGTATTTAGTCAATACATCTTTAATAAATAGATAATTTTTCTAAATTATTAAATAAATAATATGAAGAATAATAAAAAGAGGATAATGTTATTTAGTATATTTTTTCTGATTATTGATAACTTATGTTAATTAACTTATTAATATTATTATTGTTAAAAATTTATTATTATTATTGAAATATCAATTATTTATTGAAATACTAATTTGTAAATAATTTTATAATAATAATAAATTATTAGAAGTCATAGAAATGTAGTTTATCATAATTTTAATTGCATATATTTATTAATTGACTTTAGACTGCTAAATACATTATATTTAAATCAAGAATATAAACGAAAGGATTATTCGAGCCAATGCTAGATGACAATGGTAAATGTATTTTAATAAATATTAAAGTTTACAAAAATTTAATCAATGCAACACAAACATTTCGATCTTCAATATAGGCATCTTTAGTGTGAAAACAATCAATAAAAACGACTAAATAAAATGTTATCTCTAATATCATTCTAATTCGATTAATAAAAATTTGAGACGCTTTATAATTGTCCGAGATATAAAATTCGTTGATGAGAGAAGAATCATACTTTATCTTAAATCGAGTTGGAAAGAAAACAATTGTTTTCACTTATTGGATTAGATGTGACTACGTAAAAAAATCGCTTTATCACTTTATCACTTTAATGAAATCAAAACTAATCAATTGGAAGTAAATTATCTCAGGATGGTACGTGTATAGGATCACTGTTATCGTGAATTTGGCATGGATGTAAATGTGAGACATTCATATTGATTGAATTTGATGCGTTTATTTAATTATTTTGTTTTCGCATTGAAGATCATATTGAAGATTGAAATGTTTATGTTGCCTTGATTGAATTTTTGTAAATATTAATAATCATTAAAATATATTTAGTATATAGTATTGTCATTTAATTTCGATTCGAATAGTTCTTTGCTTATACTCTTGATTTATTTTCATACAAAGTCTTTAACTGTTATTATTAATTTTTACATTGTATTTATTTTAATTGTTGCTTGTAAGTACATTAGCTTTATATATCTAAATTAAGCTATGAAATAATTTTAAAATAACATTATTTTTCTTATTGATATTATTAAATTAGACTATTCAAATAATTTTAGAGATATTTTATAATAATTATGTTAATAATATATGTATATAATTTATATAATAAATATTATATCAATAATCTTATTCCGTTACTATAAATATATTGACTAGATGCAGCAATACATATCTGGCGAAAATTAGTCTGATATAGAACAATTTTATAGAATAGATAATGCATTGGCAGATATATATTTTCACGAAGATATACATAGACTGATAGCTATTTCTGTAACATTAGAATAAAGCCTTTTAAAGCTAAATTTAAAAATGGACAAGAAATGAACAGATTTAATTGTTCTATTATTATAAGAACAAGAAAAGTTAAAATCGAATAGTTGTTCTATTATTATAAGAACAAGAAAAGTTAAAATAGAATAAAACATCATAACATCTGAAAACCTTAAAGTAGACTTGTTTCGATAATGAATGATAGAATGAAGAAATTTCGTTTATAATTCTTTTAATTAATGGATAGTAGATAGCTATGAATGTTAATAAAAAAATTCATTTTTGTTGGAAATATAGAATATGCATAGATGCTGATTACATAATAATGAATGCTGATAAAGAAGAATGAGTTCAAGTACATTTGATCGATTTATATCTTGAACACGTATGGTGACAAAAAGTAAACATATATCAATATAAAATGCAAAAGAAATTCATATGATTTTTTTATCTTTCGTATAATAATACTTTAACAATAAATGAATTAGATATTTCATTGCTTGTTTCAGGAGATCTCATCATTACATGTTCTAGATATTAGCAATTTATTCTTAGAATTAGTCTCATGGATTCTTAGTCACGAGTAAAAATTTAAGTGATAATGATTGAACCTTAGCATAAACAATTGCATTTCTTCTCAAACGCATAATATATTGGAGAATGATTCATTAGAATAAAATAGTCCTTTTCGTTCGTTATGCCATGGAGTTAAATCTCTAGTCCACATATTGCTTTGTTATATGAATTTAATTGGTTTTGTTTGAAATAGTAATGATATAATCATAACGATTTCTAAATCACTTCGCTATTTTGGAGACTATTGTAACACATGTGTATGATATTGCTATAATAACACTAATATCATATTGTATTTATAAATATTAAAATTAAAATATCTTAGAATGTATTTAAAATATTCCTTTTTAAGTTTTCGATGTATTAAGATACTAGATAAAAAATCCATTATGAAAAATATTTAATATTAAATATAGTCTCACATAGTCTCATATACTAGTTGATTTAATAATAATAATAATAATAATAATAATAATAATAATAATAATAATAAAACATAACAAAAGAAAGGTATAATTATAATAAACTCGAGATGATTACATTTCCGAGTTTATATAAGTTATTTATATACTTTTTCTCTCTCGTCTCTTCCCTCTCGTGCTTCTTTGTGAAATATAAATTTTTTAAATGCAATAATTAGATTAGCTATTAATTGAATTATTACATCTGCATTGTTCCGTTGCAACAGCATTGGAATGTACTCGCGATGTAATATGTGGTAAAGATCCAAGGAGATTGGTGCCACGCAGATTACCAGCGAAAGTGCTTCTTCCTAAGAAACTGTGAGCACACTTATAAAGACGAGTTTGCAGAATCAGCACATCGTCGAGATCTTGTTCACTGTAATATAATCATGCTGTTCACCATATTTAATTTATGATCATTATTCCAGATATATACATATTTGATCTATATTCTAAGTTATAATATTAGTTTCTGTATTGTACTTAAATGAAAAGTAGTAGCTTTGCCGTCATATAATTCCATAGTAAATCAAGAAACGCATCTATGCTTCAAAAATTATGTTTAGCGTAGACACAATTACCTTGCTGCAATTAAGAACTTTTGGAAGAGTTTATTAGGAACAGTACGAGGCCGATCTATAGTATCTTCGTAAAGTTCCGTTTCTCTGTTATACAAATGCAAAAAATCGGAAAGTTGCTTTGCAGTAATGGCAGCTCGATCCTTGTCGCTTAATTTATTACATGGTAACTACAGAAAAAATTAGTTCAAATAAATAATCTGATTTCTTTATTTCTAACATAAAATGGTTACATTAGCTAGGTATAGCAAACTAATGAACTCAATTTATATACAAGTCAATTAACAATAAATCAATTTAGTATAGAATTTAGATTTATCATTATTAAAGTGTTTTGCAGATTTTATTTAATACCAATTTAGTATAAATTTAGTATAAATTTAGTATAAATTGCTGTCTCTCTAATACCAATTTAGTATAAATTTAGTATAAATTTAGTATAAATTGCTGTCTCTCTCTCATTTATACATACCGTAAATAAAAATGGTGCTCTCAAACTACAAGAAGAATGTTGAAGAAACTTCATAACAAGGTCGCAAGATCCCGGATCTGCATTAGGCTGTGATATTTTCCGTAATATATAACCCAGATATAAACCGAAAGCTTTTCTAGCTTCACCGAAACTGATTATTCATATGTAATGTTTTTTGTTTGTGCATCAAAAGGGAAAAAGAGAAATAAAACAGATAAATCTGACAATACATAAAAATTTGATTATGATACATGAAGTTTAATAACAAACCTAAGTTTATTGCCTTCTTGCATCAATTGCATTACTTGGTTTTTGTATTTGTGCATATCTACATCTAAATTTTCTTTATTGTTGCCTCTATCTAAACTTTGTTTGTGACCCTTCATCAATGCTCTTTCGTATCTTTCATATCTATAAAAAAAGGATCAATTATTAATTTTCCTGAGATCAAGATTATAAAACTATAGTAATAAATTATAATTTAGTTAATATTCAAATTCACTTTTTATTTGTTATCTCACTATTTTTATAATATAATATCTATAATATAAGTTTGTATTTTTTTATAACAGTTCCTTATTTATATGATTTCGTTTATATGAAATTAGAAGAAATATTCATAATGCCTTTTCCTTCGATATTTTTAACATCAATATTTATCAAGATATTTGTTTTATCTTAGTTATCTCTTAAATATCTCTGAGATATACTGTACAATTTACTTTGTTTAGAGTAAGATATTTTTTGAATATCTTTTACTGGAATATTTTCATAATTTGTTCATTACATTTACCCAGATAGCCAAGCGTTATTCAGCATATGAAACAAGTTAATGCACTACACGAGTTGTGATGTTGCCGTCAATTGGCTGACATCGGAATTTATATGGAACAGAATTGGAGCAACAGGAGGGCAAATACATATCATTAGTTAATGAAATTTTAAGATCAAACATTAAGGAATAATGACACATCATGTTGACAGCAAACTGATAACCGTTTGTTGTAAGTAGCGCACACATGACGACGACTTATCTAATCAATTCGCTAACTTACGATGAAGACTTCACATAATTGCAAAACAATAGACAGTTTGTGGAAACATCTTATTTTTAGATTGTCGAATTGAATACGGCATGTGTGATAGCAAAATGACAACATGTTGTTCTTATTTGGCCATCTAGGAATATATTGATGATATTTTAAAGAAATTGAGATATATTTTGTATTATCCATGATAATTTCAATATATTCTATAAACCTCCCACCTCCATTCCACAAACATCCAAAACATGAGAGATAACAAAGATTGTCTAAAGAATAGAGGATTTCACTATTCCAGTAATAAATTAACTTGCACTACAGCAAAAGTACCTCGGCGAGTCTTAGTCAACAGCATGATTGGAATACAGACAACATTAGATAACGCTTATTCAGAAGTAATAAATAATAAAAGTTTAAATAATTGCAGAACCATTTTTAAGGCAAACACTCGAAATAAAATAAGGATCCGCATTATGATCAAAGGATACTAGGATCTCTATACAGTTCAATTGCGAAGACACTACATTATATAATTCAGATTTAATCTAACAGAACAAACATATGAACATGCTGATGAGGTTGATTTACATGTTCTATGACTCTAAGGAAGGAAATCGGTCTTTTTATATTAGATTTATATTTTATATATAATTCTTCATTATATGAAAAGAAGAAAACTATTCATTTTTGATAATTTTAGCTTAATATTTTTATATAACGAATAACTAAAGATGACATAAAAAAAAAATCGTTTTTACTAGAAAAATGGCAGTAACCTTCACGTGGCTTTCAGATAGTTATCTAATGTTAAACCAATAGCATCATTGTGCTCTTTTAAAAACTTTAAAATTTTGAGATATTTTTGTACAATGTCAAGTTAGGAGATGTACTGTTTCTAAAAAAAGGACATTCAATATATTAATAAAAATAATTTGATGTATTATGTTAAATAATTTCAATTCTTTGATTTAAGTTATTTATGTAATAAATTTAAGTAATAAATTTTTAATAAATAAAAAGTTATGACTATAGTCGTGAAAATAAAATTTGTAACGCAGCATACCTAGATAACCTGTCTAACATTATTTCTGGAATGATATAGTCAGTAATATGATTGGCTGCGGGAAACAATTGTTCATGCAACATCAAATTGTGATTTGTATTAATATGTTGCGGTAATCTTCTTGGACCGAGTGGATCTGATATCATTGGTGCACCCGTAATTGGATCTAAGACATAGACTGGGTAAGTTAATCATTAGGCACATCATACTTGGTTTCAGGAAATAATACTTTTTTCTTAAAACTTAAAACACTGACAAAGAAAAAAATATATCTACCTAAGTATTGCGAGTAGAGTTCCCAAGACTTTAGACTTGGAAATATCCTAACAAATCCACCTCTTCTTTCAAATTGTGCCTTTGCAGATGCTACTATTCGTTGTTGTTCTAAACTTAAACCTGCTTTGCTCTTATTATTTCTATTAATATTTTTCCTTCCTTGAGGCAATATTTCTGCAGACTGCACCCTTCTATACTAAAACAAGAAAACAAGTATCTGTCCGTAATCTGTAAAAACATTATTTTGTATATCTAATATTCCCAGCATCCAAAAATAGAGTAAAATGAATTGAAAATTTCTAATCCATTTTAATTCATTTTGGATTGAAAGAAGATAAGAAATACTTTCTTTTAATCACGTTTCATGGATTGATATCACCCGTGTAATTTTGTTTTCTCTTTCAAATTGAGAGCATAGGAATCTCAAATAATTTCAATCCCACTTTATAGATTAAAAGGGATTCAAAGAATTCTTAAACTTTGATTGAATTGAAATAAATTCAAAAAATTAAGCATTTGAATTCGGCAATGACCACACGAATTTCCATCCATTTCAATCCATTTTCGTTTGCTGGGTTCTTGAGATAATTCGCAAACTTCTTCATTTTATATAACAAAGAAAAGTAAATTTTTAATAATAAGATTATATATTAAATGTGCAATATTTTTATTAATTTTCAAATGTATTTGTCTATTTTAAATAAAATATTCTGTTTCCTTATTTCTGTTATTTTGCAGTAGGAAATAATTAATCTTTAAATAGAATCCAATTGAATAAACAAACATAATTCTAAATTAATTAATTAACTTCTTCGCAGTGTATATATACACAGAAAAAAGACGTGCCATCAATGTACATGTAGCACATACGCAAAGAAAAATCGATTTATCTTTTTGCAATTTGTATGAAACTTGATATTCTACTTGGTTTTTGAAGTCGCTGAATCTATATATAATATCAGAACTTCAAAATTCAAAATGGTGGATCCAATATGGTGGATTAAAATTTAGAAAAATAATTGAATTTTATAAAAATGCTTATCCTAAGATTTCGAGATCGCTAAATTTAAATATATTTCAATTTCAAAATTCAAAATGGCAGATTCGATATGGCGAATAAAAATTAAATAAAATACTCGTTATAAAAATGAGTGCTTCAAAATTATTGAAATCGCTGAATCAAAATTTTGTTACTATAAATGGCAGATCAAATTTTGCTGACAAAAATCACTTGAAAATATATTCAATATATTTAAATTTTATATATTATAACGTTATATTAATATAGAGCAATTGTTTATAAATCCCACTCTCCACCGAATTTAGAGTCACGAAACCCGGCGAGGACCCGGCGGTTTTGAGTACATAGTTTTATTATTTTATTTAAAAATTTTTTTTATTTTATCAATTTTTATTCGTTTTATCTTTTTATTTTTATATTTTAATGTTAATGTTTAATGTTAATCATTTTTATAAGAATCCAATTATTTTTCCAAATTTTGATCCGCCATATTAAATTTACCATTTTGAATTTTGAAATTCTGATATCATATTTGGATACCTTGAGCGACCTTAAAAATTTTAATTCTACTAAAGTCATATCGAAATGTAAGAAACTCTTTTACACACAGTGGTGGCACTGTGGAAAATCTCATTTCCGTCACACTACAAAAAAATTAAGAATTAAGAAAAATTGATATTCTATAATTGATATAAATTCTACAAATTCTAGATAGAAGAATAAAAATGGATATTCTACATAGATAGAGAAAAAGAAATATAAATTAAAATAAGCTTACATTAGTTTTCTTATTGGAATTTATGACAGCACGATTTAAATTTTGAGAACGCAAGATTGGATCAACAGCAGCTATGCCGACGAGAGTAAGTAAGTCTGCTATTAAAGCTGACTTAAGTCTAACATCCAATGGTGAATCGCATCCTAATGAAGGACTTAAATTTACTTCCAGTAACCATGGCTTCAGCGTATCATCGATCAGTATATCGAAGCCAAATAATTCTAGAATAAAACAATATGTATGACATGTATATAAAATACTATGGTTTCATTTTAATATTAACGTTTATAATATAATACTTATAAAATGATCATTACTTTTTTATTGGTTTTTGATATGAAAAATAATTTTCTTTTTCACCTTATTTGCATATCATAAATTATGTTTGAGTCACGTTATTTCTATGTTAAAAAGTTCAAAATGCTATTTAAGATAAACTATTACCAAAACACGTTTCAGGATGTTTGACGAATTGCTTTAAACCATTGACGATTCCAGATGCAGTGGCAAGAATTGATTTTATAATAATATCTTCTATTCGCTGCATAAGTAATTCTGTATCTTGACCCATCGAGCGCAAGTGTCTAAGCAATGCCGATAATGTCCACTTGTGTCCTACATCCTCGGCATCAGGATCTTCGCTCCTAATCATATTAAAGATATTTTTATATATGTGGTTTACATATAATTTCTCTTTATGACAATTTCTATTCGACTATACAAACTATACATGTTCTTTCTCCTAATTTTCCTACATTTTTTCTCTCTACGTTTTTTTATCTCTTCTGTTTTTCCTTTTTTTTTCTTTTTTCATTCATTTTCATTGCTCTTCTATTTCATTAATATCACACAGATTATAATACTTGTTAATTTCATTATATGTAAAATAGCAAATTTTGCATAACTATTTGCATTATAATATAATTATAATATAATTATAATTATATGTATATTATAACTATAAGAAAATTATTTGAAACTTTTTGCACAGATAGATAGATATACAATGACATGTCCCGCCATTACCGTATTATCTCTTAAAGACATATTCCTGAGATAATTATGAGATAAAACTCTTAATATGGAAATATCGAGGCTACTTTTCAAATTACTTTTATCAGTATACGCTGTACCATGTTTGAGCGCACGAACTTTAGCCGTTGCATTAATGACATTTCGGCATTCTCAAAATTACCTCAAGAACATATCCTTAAGAGATAATACGGTAGCGGCGGGACACTCCGTATAAATAAAAGGAAACTAGGAAACTCGAAGCAAGCTTTATCACAAAGTTTTTTCACTTTAATACTTTAATATTTTGTGTAATATAAATAATTTTCGTAATATAAATAATTTTTTATTTTAATGTATTAGCTGCATTTGTCATAATTTACTTTACTTACTTTATATAATCCACATGGAATTTGTTTATACTGTAGTTGCAAAGATGCATGCAAGGATTCCAAATATATTGGCTTCCGCCATCATATTTAACAGTTGCAAATCTCACTAAACCTTCCTCGTACAAATAAATTAGCAGTGGATCGTAATTCGTTATGGCCACATACAAACGTAAATCACACTTATGTCCGTCAATTAAAAGCGGGTTATTTATGTATTGTGCTACGATAACTGATTCGTCTGTCAAGATTTTCTCAGGCTATAACAATATAACAAAAAAATTAGATAAAGATTTGGCATTGTATGTTTCATCAAATCATTAAGCTTTAAGATAAAATTTACGTTCAAGCGATGCATAGCTTGACGTAATCCAAGATTATTTATTGATAAGCGCATTGTTAGCTAATTGGAGCTCTCGAAAAATCATACTATTCATACTATCATATTATAAATCGTACTACAAAAGATGATAATAAATTTGGCACTTTTTTAATTTAATTTAAACAACATTAATTTTATTTTTAATAATACCGTATAACAAAAAAAGTTTTCTTTTATTTCAAGCATGAAAAAGTCGAGATGTTCATGAAAGTAAAGATGAAATCTAACATAGACGTGCATTTCCAGCATTCGGAAATAGATTAAGATAAACTGAAAATTTCTAAATCATTTTAATTCATTTAAATACATTAATATGATTCTTTTTAGATTTGAAATAATAGGGAGCACTATCAATCTCGTTTCATGTCATATTAAAACGAATTGATGTGGCCCGTCCACGCGATCCTTTTTGAATTGACAGCATAGGAATCTCATAGTTTCAATCCCACTTCATGGATTAAAATGGATTCAAAGAATTCTTAAACTTTAATTGGGTTGAAATGGATTTAAAAAATCATGAATTTGGATTATTTGTGAATAACCACACAAAATTATTTCTATCCAATATCCGGAAGTAGATTAAAATGAATTGAAAATTTCTAATCCATTGTAATTTCTTTTAATACATTTTGGATTGAAAGAATAGGAAGCACTTCTTTTTAATCCCGTTTCCTGAATTAAAATAGATTCAAAGAATTCCTAAACTTTAATTGAATTAAAATGGATTAAAAAAAATCAAGAATTTGAATTTGGCAATGATTACACGAATCCATTTCTATCCATTTCAATCCATTTCCGTTTGTTGAGTGGGTTATATTTCGTGAAATTAAGATATTTAAGTTTTTACGTATTTTGAAGTTTAAAGAAAGTCATTACAACTGATGATGTAAAATAAAATTTTTCAATTCTTAGAAAATCATGCATTCTTCATGTAAAATTGGTCATTGAATATAAAAATGAAATTAAATATAAAATTATTCAAATTTCTCTCTTGTTTCGGTCTTTCTTCTTCGATCCTTCTCCCTCACTCTCTCTTTATCTTCCTCTCTTCCTCTATCTTCTTTTCATCTATATCTCCCTTTTCTACTTTTCTTTTGTTTTTTATTAAAATTGAACGCTCTGTATGAAAATAACTACTCTAAGAGCCAAGCAAAAACAGATTTTAACCAGAATACATTATCAATTTCCGATAGCAGAAAAGCAACTTTCAAATAGAGTATGTAATATCTGACCATGTCAGCAAATTATCAGAAATACAACGAAATTTGTTAACATGCCATGCAAGAGATTATATGTCGAAATAAAAAAATTTACAAAAGAAATCGAGCAAACTTTGCACAAAGAAAGCATAACATAATTACTAAACTATCACTAGATTACATTCATCTTTCGCATGTAAAATTTGTCAGATTCTCTAATCGAAATTGCTAAAACTAAAATTCAAATTTCCATTTTATTATTTACACATCTTTTATATGCACTTGATGCAAGATATGATTGTATCTTTATAGAAAATTAATAAATATAGTATTTGGAAAATAATCATTGATATATATGACAGCCGAAGACTACAATACACATCTTTAAAAAAATTTTATAATTTAAGAAATTTTTGCTATTTGGAAAATATTAATTTCTAAAATAAAAAAAAAATTTTAAATAAGAAATAAAAAATAATAGAAATCTTATTTTTCAAGATTAAAAGTAACAGTGTTTCATAAAATAAAATTTAAATGAAAACAGCAAAGCTTGCAGTGCGTGCGTGCGTGCGTGCGTGCGTGCGTGCGTGCGTGCGTGCGTGCGTGCGTGCGTGCGTGCGTGCGTGCGTGCGTGCGTGCGTGCGTGCGTGCGTGCGTACAGGATGCTGAATTATCTCTACGAAAAATGATATTTAGAGAAAATTTTTTATATAAAGGGTATCAGGGTTGTAGGGTATCAAGTTATCCATCATATGATGATATTGATTTAATCTTAACGATATTAAAAATGTCGCATCAAAGTCACCTTAAGTTTTTTAAATAAGAATATTTTTTATTATAAATTCTCGTAGCCGATGTCGAGACTTTTTCAAAACAATATAATTCAGTTCCATTTGGTAAAAAACTAGTCTAGATATGCACCGCCAAAGCCATGAAAGTCATTTTTCCGAATGTTCCGATCTCTTGTTACACTCTGTATATACATACATATCTTTTGTAGCTTTTTTTAAAGATAACAATTTTCAATAAAACGACCATCTAAAGTTGAAATTATAATTCTTCGGTAAAATTTTCGTCCTTTTTTGATTGCATAAATAAAAACGATTTAAAATATTGCATAAAATCATGATCAAACGATAAACAATACATTTTAAAATATACTGTTAAAAGTTAAAAGCAATCGGCTCAATGATTTTTGAGAAATTCTGCCAACTAATTCAAAAGAAATGGTTTCAAGAAAAAGCGTTTATAGTTTTACTATTCTGATCATTTTGGGATTTATGGAATATCTTTTCATTCGATGTATTCTTGTATAACTGTATCAGCGACATTTTCTATCCATATTTTGTATTACAAGATTCAATTATTACATTATTATTATTACGTCATTTATTACGTTATTATGTTACATTATTGCAATGATACTTCTGACATATAATATGCAATTGATGAAATTGTTTCTTCAATTATGATTCTAAATTTCTATTGGAAAACCTCTATCAAAATCAATTGAAAGATGACACACAAATAAAAGGTCTTAAAATTAGAGATTCATATAAGTCGACAAACAATTCAAATTCGGATAGATCGTTCGTGAGAACGTACTGCTGTATCTGCCTACCAAGCGACGCGCTGAAACGGCCGCGCTCTTAGAAATATTTAATAACTTCATTATTTTTTTCTCAAAAATATTTTTTGAGTTGAACTTGAGATTACTAAAGTAAAATACAAAAAAAAAATTGATTTTTCTTTACTTATTATCTTGATGTCTTCCTCCTTAAAGTTTTCATTAAATTTGCTTTTGTATTTAATATTATATACGTTTTATATAAGCCGGAAAAATTATTGCATCCCAAAATATAAAATGTATAATTAAAATTAAGCATTCTATGAACAAATTCTATGAATGTCAATATAAAATGATTTTTACTTAGTATGAAGTAATGATTTAAATAATTTTTAAACTTATCAACCTTGCACTGCAAGAAACATCATAAAATATTTAAATGTATCCTTACGTTATTTACAATATAAATACCACGACCTCGTGAACTGGCTTTAGGCTTTACGATCCATGGCCCTCTATATCTAAAATGCGCAGAAATTAATTCTCGGGCTTCAGTAGGCAGCAAGAACGTCTGAGGTATAAAATCGAGATTTCGAAAGCCCTTATTTCTCTGCATAGCTTCGATATTTTTGTATAGGCGGTCCTTACGGGTAATTTCATAAGATCTGAGGATTTTTAGCAGAGAATTTAAGATCCATTTAGATTTTCGATTATGTATTACGAAGATTTGAATTAATAATATGAGGACTTGGAACATTTGTTCCAAAAATGTGTTGACATTATTTCGTAAAATTTAATATCTAAAATAAGATTTTAATTACTAGAAATTGTATTTTGCTGTATTGTGTTTTTACCTAGGAAAATGATTTATTTTTTGATAAGGCATCAAATTCCGTAGAATATCCGGCTTTGGATGAGTGCCCGTCCATAAAACATTAAAATCTGTCTCATTCATAGGTACCTGGAAAAAAAGACAAACGGCTATTTATTTTCAAAGATAATGAAGAAATATTTCTTAATGTTGAGAATTGATATTAAAGAAAAGTAAATAAAATTGGTTGTTTCCTTTTGTTTTCTTTATTCGAAAGTTATTCTATTTTTACCCAACCTTTTGCAATTCTTGAAAAAAGAAATAGGAATTTCTTTATGTAATTTATATTTAAATGCTATAAACATATTACTTCGAATTGTTTTTATATCTATTTCATTTGTGTGTAGTTCCTGTTTCCCTTATGCTTATTTCAAATGATTGTTTTCAAGTACACAAACGAAACAAGTAACATCTTGCTTCGTTACATCAACAATAAAGCACAAAAATATATGTATTTAATATTTAATAAAAGTTAGTTAATATTTAAATTACATTAACATATATTATCAACACTCTTACTGACCTTTAGATAGAATAATATAAATATCTCTCTGCGTGGATCGACTATTAATTATTAAAATATATTAAAATTTTACATAAATATATTGTAAATTTTTTTGAAATATCTTGTAACGTTGTTGACACTTTACATACTTTTACATACTTTTAATTCCTCTAGATAATACTCAAATAATCATTAGAAGAATAACAGAAGAATAAGGAAATAACAATTTTTTTTCATAAATTGTGAAAACTAACAACAACTATTGTTGTGGCGTATTGTGTCTCCACGCGAATGATCCGCGGCTCGTTATCCTTGCGTTATCAGGCGTAATCGAGACTGAATTACTTCTTTCCTGAGTTTGACTTAGATATTGAATTTGTGTATAAATTTGCCCACGTACAAACTTATATCGGTCTTGTAATACATAAAAAAGGTGTGTCTCTTGAAGATGATACGCACACATCATTCATTAGACATTCATTCACAATCATCAGATGCCAATTTGTCGCGGATGTTCACACAATATTAATCGTTACAGCATGTGAAGGGGGAATAGATTGGGATATCGCTTTCCGCTGCTTGAGTTGAGGTTCCGCGCACACACACCGTAGGGAGATCCCTCGGTACTGTAAGTTTCAAACTTTATAACTCGAAAAGTACTTAATAAAAAATAACTTTATTTAGTTTTGGGAAGCTCTCGACATCACTTATTAGATTCTGGAATAAAAAATAAGGTGTTCCGATTTTTAAAAAATCGACATGACGACTTGATATTGACGACTTGATATTGCCGACCTAAGGTCAAATCGATAAGATCGGTAAATAGATTTTTTTAAACCCTACAACTTGTGTCCGAACACTTTTACGATTAAACTTTATCTAGCAAAGATAAAAGGGTGGTACGGGTAGTCTGAAACATCCGATATAAGAACCATAATTTTTATATAACTAACAAATATATAATTAACAAAGATATAATTAACAAAAACTATAAAGAAATATTTTTCTTTTGTTTAATTCTTGTTTATAATAGTCAACCTAAGCATTCCTCTAATTGATTCATTCATTTTATTGATATTATTATTCATTAATATAGGATCCTTTTGTTTAAATAATACTCATATTATATCATATAAACAATAATTGTTGGTACAAAAATATAAAAAAGACAAATCAAAAAATATGCTAAAAAGATTTCAAAATTGATCAGTTTTGAGTAAACAAATTGTATAATGTTACACTGTATATATTACTAAAACTTTACCTGTATATTACTATATATTACTAAACCTGTATGTTACACTGTATATTATTAAAACTTTACCTCTACTAAGCCATGTGATTGCAGCAGAAGATTAATGAGTTTGGTATCAGTTTGAAAAATCTTGTAAGTCATATGCAATTGTTTTGCAGGTGGATCTTCTGGTGGTGTGGCTAAAGCAGAACATCTGAAAGATAAATAAAATATAGTTGTTTAAATATTTCTGTAAATAAAAGATAAAGAGTAGATACATTCTCACATAAACTTACTTAAATCGTAAGACAGGTGTCTTGTTTCCATTTGGTCCATTCAATAACCATTCATCATTTAATATATTCCTTCCATTTGTTATACTATAAATAAATATTCATAAAGCATTATGCATGATTTAAAAACATAATATCTTAACCTATTAAGTTCTATAGATAAAGATAACTGACAAGATTAGCAAAAAAATAATAATCGGAAATGAGAAATTTGAAAAGAACATTATATACAATATTGAGATATCTATTTAAAAGAACAAAACACAGGTATTACATAAATCATCATTATTGTATGTTTTTTTATTGATTTTTATTGTTCTAAAAAACTAATGATACTTCCTTGATGTTGCATCTTGGAGAGATGCTCAACAGAATGCTCTAACAATATTGCAACAACAGTTTAACATTTTAGCTTACAGAATTCAAAATTGAGTAATACGAATTAGTACTAATCTTATTTATTTAACCTTATTAATAAGATTATAAGGATAATAATTTTTAAACAACAAACAGGGGTATAGGCAATTCTTTACATAAAGAATTTTATATGTTTAATGATATAAATCTAAGATAAATGTTTATATCTCTGACCACGCATCATTGTTTTAAACGGATCTGCAACATAATTTAAAACCCTGTTAAGTCTTTTTCTTTAATAAACAATCAAATAATAATCAATAATCAATTATTTCTTTTTTTCCATGGGGAATATTTATTTGCAAAAAATATCACTTGCAATACCTTCAGTACTTTTAAATCTAAAATTTTCCAACTATACTATAACAAGTGTTTCTATCTGTCCGTTGTTTATTAATAACTACAAATTTAAATTGATTAATATGAAATATAAGTTAATTTTTAACTTTAATTTTAATGTAATATCATATGTCATTAACATTAATTTAACACTTAATTTATAAGATAAGGATAAAAGGAAAACTAATTTATTCCTCGCTAATGTTGCAATGTTCTATGTTGTCTGAGATGTACATTAAGACAGTATTGTACAAGGCATCATTAATGCATTTCTACCTTATTTAATTGTAAGTTTAGACGTTTATATACTATGATTATGTTACTTTCAATCCCATAACATTGTCGAATTAGACTGGAAATAACAAAGACATAGAGAAAAGATTCGAATATATTGTATATGTATATATATATATATATATTCATCGGCGTAAATTTGATGTTCAACTTTATAAAAAATAAAAATAAATAATAGGTAAAACGATAATAAGTTATTTTTCAAAAGTAACACAATATAATAAATAGCATTATTCAGAAAATAATAAATAGTACTCAGGCAGGATATTATATATCTAATAATTTTCTTTTTGAATTTATATTTAGGCGCCTGCCTGTCAGTAATTTTTATATTCTGTTCTTTAATTTATTCGCAATTTATTACATTGATTTGTTTTTTCAAAAGTAACTTTTCAGTTCTGATAATTATAATAACATTATTATATTATTTGTTCAGAAACTGAATGCGGAAAGATTTATGGCACCTTTTAATATTTAAATATTGTATGTGAATTAAAATTATTCAATTATTAGTAAAATGATAAAATTTGATCGTGTTTTTTATAATAATTTCTATTACATCAAAGTATATAATATAAATAATACAATTTTTTCAAAATATTATTAAACGCATTAAAACATTTAAAATATTATTTTTCTATATAGATAAAACAGAAAAATAGATATAAAATTCTAATTTCATTAAAGACTGATTACTAAAACAAAATGAAAATAATATTACATAATTCTTGAGATTTAAATAAAAAAGAAATAGGAAAAGATTAATGTTACAAGACACAATATAAAATTTTATTATTATTAGATATATTAATGATATATTGAATAATTATAAGAAAATTTGACAAATTGCATAAATAACATGTAACTTACTTTTCTGATTTATTAGATTTATAGGATTTGTGTACCAAAGCTTCAAATGTTTCCTCACTACTGGTAGATAACTGCGACATACCGGGAAGACTGAAAGAGGACATGAATTCTTTTGAAGACTTCCCTTTCAGTTTTCCTGTTACATTAGTATATTTTCTTTGAGACATAATTTATCTGAAATAAACAAGATAAAAAAGATCATAAAATTGTAATAAAAAAAATAAAAAAAAAACAAAAAAAAACAATATAAGTATGATGACATGAAATGAGTAGATCGGGATTTGCTATCCAAATTTTCTTAATTTCGACATTAGAATTTTCAGACAATCATTCCAATTGACTACCATATATTAAAATAATGAATCCTTGTACTACGTTTTTTTTATAAAAAAAAATGATCCTGTACACTGTGTATAGTTTTTTTATAACAAATATAAGGAATACAAATATTCCGTAATATACTCAGTTTGCTTTAAGAGTAAATTAGCATATATCGAGATATAAGTTGGCTATAGTAAAGTCTATGCTAAATTCATTAGAAAATAATAAAAAATGACACCAAGTATGCACCTTTTATGGACAAATACTTGATTGAAACAGTATTAAAAAATTTGATTAACATATCATTTAAATTTATTTGTTAAAAGAACATGTAAACGTATAAAAATACTTGTATAACACAAATGGTTTAATTTTCCATAAAGTAAAATAAAAATAATTATGCCATTATATACAATATATATATAATGGCGCAATTATTTATATATATATTTATTTATTCATTTATTTATATTTTTATTTACACGCACACACCCATATACATAATAGCACAATTATTTTTATTTCATTACTTTTTATAGAAAATTAAACCATTTACATTAAACAAGCAATTTTCATTTATAATTTTACAAGTTCTGATCTTCTTCCGATTCTTTCATTGAATCGCTGTTTCACATGAATAATGTTTTCTAAAGTCTGACTGATGTTTTGTTATAATACCGTTATTTTCCATACATTACAATTTAACAAATACATTTCAATTTGCTTTTTTACTACTAACTCTAACACTTTCTCAAATATTAGTAACATATTAATAGGTATGTACATATTCGCTTGCTTTTTTAATTTTTTTATTTTTTTGGTTATCATAGATGTTTTCCAAACCTCTGGACCTTCGTCCTCCTTTTTTAGGCATTAGTTAATTCCTGTAGCAACATTCCTCAGTTACTGATAGAAATTTATTACGTTAATATTTAAAAAGTAAGTCAAGTATCAGTGTACAAGAGTACCTTCACTACCATGTGATATAATAGACCTGAGCGCGCGAAACTTAGCCTGCTGTAACTGGTCAAATTTATTTGTTGATAAATTTGAAATATTATTAAGTATAGTCTCGATATTTTCGAGTTGAGATTTTTGCCTTAAAATTTTCCAAAGAATCCGTTCATAAAGGGTCCTCCGGTAATTTTGGAACATTATTTTTTTCATAATTTTACTCGTATTCATCTCAACTCTTAGCCATGTTCGGGGGCTCGAGCCATGCTTGATGCAATCTCTCCTGTCGTGCTCCAGGAGGATTATTTGTATATATTTGCCAATGGCGTTGGAGGGTGTCGCCGTTGCGACCTGCATCCATCGAGAGAATAGGACCATCATCTCTCTGGAGTACCGGTCGTGGGGATTCGAAAGAATACATGTATATATGTATATTGTAATATATATATATATATATATATATATGTATCATTGTATTGTTGACGTGTTATTCTAAATACGTTATTTGTGATAAATATCATCACATGCCTCGGTAGTCGAAAGGATAAGATGCCTGCCCGGTAAGCAGGAGATCCAGGTTCGATTCCTGGCTGAGGTGGTATTTTTTCGCAAAATAATTACGAGTTTTCACGACTGGTTCGTGGTCGGACCCCGCCGTGACGCACACCCTCCCTTATGATTCATTATTTTAGATTTATGCATTAACTGCATTTCTATTGTATTATTAGTAAAAATTAAATCTGCGATTGTCTATCTTTTATAACACTCGTCAATTTATTAACATATTGTTTCTTAAACTCAGCATTGCTGTTTGCAATTTCTTTCTATAAAACGAATCTGTCAAGAAATCTATATTAAAATCTCCTATAATCATACATTCTCCTTTTATTATTATTTCTTCTATATCTTACAGAAATCTCATAAAGTCACCATGATCACATGTGCACTCGATAAATGCTCACTTCTTTATACAATTTTTCTTTCACTTTTATGATGTATACCAGCAACTCTAACTTTTTCATTAAGACTATCTTATATTTAAAATCATCTCTCATATATAAAACAAACCGTTCTGTATTTTTATTTTTAGTATCATGTCTGATATATCATACTATAACTTGATGTGTTCAACTCACTGTTTTCAAAAAGCGAAGCGCTACTGTCTTCAAATTCATCGGTCAATTTGGTCTCCAATAACGCTATTATCATCGGATTATTTTTTTTATCTGATGCTATATCTCATCCCTATATGTTATCTTGCGCATTTACAGCATGACTTCTGCTTCCTTCTGTAGTTGCTATTTCGCATCTTTCCAGCTATTTTTAATTCTTTCTTGCAGGTTGGACAAAAAATTATTATTTATGAACAAATGTAAACAAATTGTGGACAATCAAATGCCATAAAGATTTTGAAAATTCACATTTAAGGAATGTCTAATAGTAGATTCATTTAGTGAACCAATAATCGTGAATATTCTTGATTAAAATTAGATTTTAAAGCCAATAAGTCTACATTCACATCAAAAAGCAACAAAAAAGAAATTAAAATCATTCAAAAAATAAACAATCTAAATAAAAATATAATTAAATTTAAAATAATGTTATATTTGTATGTTTAATGGTATAAGAAATGATGGAAAGTTTTCATTTTTCATTTTCATTTGAAATTTTCATTTAATTTTGTCACGCAAAAAAATTTTTTTTGTCACAAAATTAAAAAAAGATTAAAATAAAGGCATAAACAACTTTCTCATTGACACTGATGTAATTTATGTATATATAAAAATTAACATTACAAGTAATATTTAGTAATATTATTCTTTTTTTTTCGTTTAAATGTTTAAAATTGATATCTTACGTAAAACTGATATAAATCAATTATAGAGATAGTCACGAAAAAATAAAAAATAAGCAAAAACCTCAAAAAAAAACCATTAAAAAATCTTGTTGTAATTATTATTGCTTATAATAATGTGTTACAAGCACTATTATTTAAAGCTTATATTTATTTTCCAACAAAAAGTTATAACGCATTTTATGAAATACATGCACAAATTATTTAATGCATATTTTATATTCCAATGCATTTATTTATATCTATATGCATTCATATTTATTATATATTTGTTATTTGTTATATATTCAAGTCATGAGCAATGGATGAGGACAATGATAAATATGATGTTACAATCATAATATATTCATAGTGACAATTTAATTGTGAAATTTGAACAGTTTTAATAATTTCTCTTTGATTTGAAAGTATTCTCTATGAAAGATAGGCTCAGTTTTCACGCTTTCTAATTTTGAATATAATTATGCAATTCATGTATTATTCAACACTGACATTATCAGTAAATGAAATCTATTTCTATGAAAAGATAAATTTTTATATTTCTATTTTTCAAATTTAACGAGATCTGTACACTTAAAAAATATATTCTGCTAAGAGATACACAAACGTGTATTGAGTAAAAACAAAAGTTAGAAAATATGATTTTTTTTATATACAAAAAATATACTTCAAAGTAATAACAAATATATATCGCTAATTATATACGATTATTTGGAATGTGTCTCCTGAACATTAAATAATGCCGGAATTTAAGAAAAGAAATTGATGCAAGCATATCATTTATATTAATATACTTGTAGCGATTTCTCTCTTAAATCTCAAAAACCAGGTTAGAATCGATAAATATAAAGAGTATAATACTAATAGAATAAATGGAATATTTTTCAATAACAGACTTGATTGTCAACTTGATTTGCGTTAAATTCTTATTGTGTAAATAAATATTTACTAGGATTAGTAAATACATTATTTATTTACACAATAAGAATTTAATGCAAATATTGAAAGATGAATTCTTGAGATTTATTCGCTATCTTAATAAATTTGTTATATTCTTCGAACTGTGTCCGTTATGTAGCGATACTAGCGAATTAGCAAACAAGACTCTTGTCACATTGACAGAGCGATCTAATGAGCGTGAGTGAGCGATCTACCACTCACTGCTTATTTGTTGTACCATCTATTTATACTAAACGATCAGCAAGTTAGTCAAGACTTACCGCGATTTTTTCAAGTCTTGAAGAGCGATTTATCGCCCATTGATTTTATACCTAATAAACCGATGACACATCGTGACACCACTTCACAATACTCACAAATGCAAACTGCAACCGGCAATCATTACTCTATTATAGAACAGCGGACGAATACTGCCCAGTAGCGCCATTGTTCACTGATGAAAATACCGTCACTCGATCATAAGTCTAATTTCCACCAACATTTTTCAATTCATCGTAGACCTGAACCTGAGTGCCATACCAAGTGCTGTCGCTATCCAAAATTGACTTCAATAGTTACGTTGCAGCTAATTTTGAAATTTTTGATCCCACAAAGGTTACGACACTTTTTTTTATGATAATCTTTGGAACGCACTGAAATTGTAAGAACGGAAATGGAAATTTATTCTGGTGACATAGCAGGTGGTTGGGGCGCCTAGCAAAGCGGTACATATAAGGTAAATATCTGACATTATGTTATAAAAAGCAATTATCAGGTACGAGTTCAATATTCTTAATAAATATGGTGAATGTGGTTTAGTTTAGAACCTCCACTTTAAAATTAAATGAATTTACAGTCATTCGATTCCTTTGCTTAAAAATTGTAAAAATAAAAAGAAAAAACTTGTCGCTCGGCATTCAGTGTGAAATAACTAAGCGTTAAAATTGACGTCTTAGGCTCAGTTTCACAAACTCAAGTTTACCGACCGAGCTTAGTTTATAACTGTAGTTTACTTAAATCTATAATCTGTACGAGGAAATTCTATAAGATTTCTCTTTCTTCTCGAACATAGAGTGTGAAAAAGTCAATATTTATTTTCAAACTAAGAAAAATATTAAACAAATGCATTTTTAGTGAAGAAAATCTTCATAGTTTTTTCCATGGTTGGTAGTAACTCGCAGTAAGAATCCACACACTTAGTAGCACATTTCTCAAACTCTTCGCTGTACCTGTCTACTGTAATTTGAGTCGGGTTTGGCCCCATTTTGTCTTTTACATTATCATTACACTCCATTATGCACCTTTGTAAACGATTCTGAAAAATATTATATATATTATATATATTATATTTTAGAAATAAGATAAGACGTCTATATTCAAAATTGAAATATTATAAAGAAGACAATTAAAATAAAACAGCTCATATAAATTAAACAATAAAATATATCAAAGGTCAATCTAGTACCCCGAATAACAAGAGACAAAAAAATAATGAATCTGTAATAAGCAATTACATAATTTTTTAAAGATAATTATGTATTTCTATAACACCAATTGATAAGTCTCGTGAATAAAAATAAAAGTTAAAATTACCGAAAACTGAATCTTTTACAAGATATTTTGAATTTTGTCAAAATTTTGAAATTTTCAAGTTTTATAACTCAAAAACCGCTTAAAAAGTTCTTAATGAAAAAATATATTAATAAATTTGATTACAGTGTTTTGGAAAGCTCTCAAGATAAGCTACAAGAATATGCAATGAAAAATATGATGTATCCATATGGAAAAATCAACGCGACCTTCATATGACTTTTATGTGACTATTAAAAGGAAAATCAATGACACCATCTTATGTACATTGCGAAACCACACAACTTTTGTCTAAAACATTTTTTTCTAAAATGCTCTATTTACGAGATAAAAGAGATGTACGGATGATCTCAGACAGCCTGTATATAAGACACGCGCGCGCGCGCGCGCACACACACACACACACACAC